ATTATGATACTATCTCATAATAATGAGATAGCTAAGTCATAATTATGAGATAGTATCTCATAATTATAAGATACTATCTCATAATAATGAGATAGCTAAGTCATAATTATGAGATAGAATCTCATAATTATGAGATACTATCTCATAATAATGAGATAGCTAAGTCATAATTATGAGATAGAATCTCATAATTATGAGATAGTATCTCATAATAATGAGATAGCTAAGTCATAATTATGAGATATATCTCATAATTATGAGATAGCTAAGTCATAATTATGAGATACAAGTTTTATTTTTTATCAGGGTGGCAGAAATGGGCTTCCATAAGAATGAAATGTAACAAGTTTACACATTTAAAAAAAAACAGAAAATAAATTGCCTTCAGGTCCAACTCTTCTCTTCAGAACATCTCGAAATTCAAACATTAAAATGGACGAAAACACAGAGACTGAGGTCTGAAAACTTTCATTGACCTGCTGAAACAAGTCACTATAGCTGAAAGAGGCAGCGTATTAACTAGAAGCTGAAAGAAGGGGAAAATGCTAGCTAAAAGCCAAAAGTTGCAAAGAGCTAAAGCTAAATGTAGCCAACTGAATTCTTATTAAAACTATTAAAAACTAAACAAAAGCCTAAAAGTTGTAAAAGCAAGCTAAAACGTAAAAGTAGCAAAAGACTATCTAAAAATTGCTGAATGATAGTTAAAAACAGCTAACGGTTAGAGTAAATTAGCTACATAGGCAAAACCATAGCTAAACTACAAAAGTTTAACTAGAAGCTAAAAGTTGTAAAAGGTTGGCTGAAAAGAAAAAGTTGCTAGAAGCTAAAAATAAAAGAAGAGTAGCTAAAAATTAAAAATAGGCAAAGGCTAGCTAAAATCAGCAATAGGTTATTAGCAAGTATTCAAAAGCCAACTAGAAATAGCAAAGGGCTAAGATCTAAAAGTTGTTAAATGATGGCTAAAAGCAGCTAAAGCTTGGAMTAAAATGTCAGCTATTTTAGCAAAACTAGCTAAAAGTGTTTCAAAAGATAACTAGAAGCTAAAGGTTGTAAAAGACTAGATAAAAAGTAAAAGTAGCAAAAGCCTACATAGAAGCTAAAAGTAAAAAATAGTAGCTAAAATTTCAAAGTAGGTAAAAGTTGTCTAAAGCAGTGTTTCCCAACGTTGGGGTCAGGACCCAAAGTGGGGTCCCGAAACATCAAGGTGGGGTCCTGAAAAGATTTTTTGAATTACTGTAATTACATTTTTGCCTTAGTTGTTACAAAGGAGTGAGGTTAGTATGTTTAAAATGGATAAATGTTGTAAATAAAAATTTTGTTACTAAGCCCATGTTTTGTTGACCTGATACAAATGTTTCTCATCCAAAAATAGTTGGGTGCACAGGTCTCTGCTACTGTTATTTTGTGGGTCAAAAGCTGAAAAGTTTGGGAACCAGTGCACTTTGGTTCCCAAAGTTGGGCTTGGGACCCAATTATGGGTCATGAAGCACCTTGGATAATCTCCAGAAATCAACTTAAAAGGGTAATAAAATAATTGCTGATGTAATATTTTTCCTATAATTATTACAAAAACACAAAATAAGTAAAAATAAGTATTTATATTTGTGTACAAGCTGTTTAGATTGTCAAAAGCCTGTGTTTTTAGGGTTATTAACGAAATTCGTGTACTCAACCCGTAATATTTGGGGTCACAAGTTTTTGCCATGGATATTTTGTGGGTCAGAAGATAAAAGTTTTGGGAACCACTGGTCTAAAGCAGCAATAGGTTAGCAAAATGCTGGGTAAATTTAAAAAGGCAAACTAGACGCTAAAAGTAACAGAACAGTAGCTAAAAACTAAAAATACCAAAAGCCTAGCTAAAAGCAGATTAGTAGCAAAATGCTATAAAAATACTAAATGCTAGCTGAAAATAATAAAAGGCTGGCTAATAGATAAAAGTGGCAGAACTGTACCTTAATTAAAAGCTAAAAGTTTTTTTCTTTTTTTGTCAAAAAAAAAGGCTAAAAGTAACACTAAAAGCTAAAAGTAAAGAAAGGTAGCTAAACAAGAGAGAGTTATGTTTAGGAAGAAATAACAATCTCCATGTGTTTCTGTTAAAAATATTTGAAAAAAAAWTTAAGTACAAAGAACAATTATAAAACTATAACTATAGGCCCTTTATTCTGAATGAGCTGAATGTTTTGATTAATGAACAGCTAAAATAGCACAAAGTATCCAGAAGTAATTCGACAGCAGAAAATGTACAGACTGTTAATACAACAACAGCAGAAAATAACAAAGTAAATGCTGAATCAGCAATCTCACAACCATGCTAACTCTTCCCACAACAATTGACAAATGTCCCTTTTCCCATTCATTTGAGATGAATTTACAGCTGTATATATTAACAAGTGCATTTTAATAAATGAAATCTTAATCGGATGAATTCAGATCTCTACAATCATTGTCATGATTTCATTTTTAGATATCAAAGCAGCAAAATTCCTGCAAAACAATTTGCTAATATTGTTTTAATGAAAGACCTAAAAATCCTTGAAGGAAAGCAGATTGTTTATCCCACTGCATGTGAAAGTTTGCACATTTTGTTAGCTCTCATGTTTGATGGGAATCAGTCTCAGCTACTACCACATAAAACTTTAGGCAAATACCTATAAAACCGTCTGAGTTGTCCTCATTGTGACTGCCTTCTTGARTCTAAACGTTGTGCAGCTGTAGATGTGCATCCTCTCTGTGCAGGGATCTGTGAGATATACTGCTAGTAACAATACCAAAGATATCTAAAATGGAAGTTTATCTTAGAAAAATGTGTCACATTTTGCATAATATTTATTCAACATAGAAGAAAAGAGCATAAAAACATCAGAAACACAAGATAACTGCAGATCAAGAAAACCAAGATCCTTCTGATCTTGAAACAAAAAAACAACAACATGTAGCAACAAGACAAATGCAAGTATCTAAAAAAACAATAAAAGGGATGAAGAGTGGAGGGCCCCACGCTCCAAACTGAGTCAACCTGCGTCTGCCGAGCGTATTTTTGAAGCTGTGCGAGGGGGTGCGAGCCTCCTCTGAGCTGCCTTTGATGTGGCTGCAGAGCGAGCCGTGCCGCTGTAGAGGGCAGGCCTCTGAAAGCGTTGGTTCACAGTTGCATCACCACCAGTTACAGCCCTCACCCATTATATCATCTTCATCTCTTTTCCATGCAGTTCTCAGTGTCTGAGCYTACTTTTGCCCAACGTGGCGGGCGGCGACAGCCTCGGCTTGGGGAGGTGACTGTTGGGTATGAAGTGGCCGAGGGGTCCCGGCTGCGTGAAGGTCGGGACGTCTCTTCAGTCGCTGATTGGGACACGAGTGGGCAGCGGAGTATGAATGAGTTTCTGATTCGTTCCCTCTGTTGGACAGGAATAAAGTGAACGCTGGGAGCTTGGTGGATGGTCTCTCGGGTTGCTCAGGTTGTTGTGCCCTCCCCTCTCAGAGATCTCTCCGTTAGTTAGCGAGATTCATTCCCTGCAAAAGCAGAGCACAGCAGAGCAAACATGAGCATCCTCCTCATCCTCACTTGCCTTCAAAGGTAGCAACTCAGAGAGAGTATAAAGAATACAGCTGCCCTCCTATTATCCTGCCCAACGTTAGAAACTAAAGAGCCATAAAAACTCCCTGACAGGAACACGAGAAGCATGGTGAACAGATTTCTACTCCTCGGTGTTACATAACAGAGCTCTCTTTCTCTCCCTCTTGTGGTCTTTTTGCTCTCCAGTTCTCATTTTCCTCCTCGAACGTGAAGCTTTCTGCTCTAAACGCTTCATTTATGAGCAGGAAAGTTAGTCGTTGCCTGCTGCCACAAGGCGAAGGCAGGCGATAATAAATATGGAGAAAAAACGTAGCTGAAATGCTACATTTACACATTTTATACTGTCTCGTTTCTCCCAAGAGTCCATAAAATTAGATTTTCAGAAAAATCAGCAGAACAATTCTTGTATTCTTTAGACCAAATTTTGGTATTAAGACAAATTACATAAAAAAAAAACCCTTTCTTAAAATAATTAAAGACACTTGATGGAGAAAAAAGGGTGGAATTTTTTGATCCAAATGTTGAACACAAGGGTGGGTTGATTATGGTTTGTGTAACAGTCAAAGCAACAGATTCAAATTTAAGATGATTCTGAAGATTATTTAATTATTTAACACATTACAACAAAATAATGGATTTGTTATAATACTATTTGAACTTCTCATCAAACGCTAGAGACGAATCAGGGAGTGCATCTTAAAAAAATTAATACCAAACTCATACTGGCCAAACAGTTATGATGTGGTGAAAACACTTGCTTTTCAGGATTTTTTTTTTTTTAAATTAAAATTCATTTTAAAGTGCCTGTGACGTGAAATCTTTGCAACAAATATGATTTCGTTTTTGGAAAGAGAACATTAATTGCAAAACAAATTTCACACTGCTGAGATGGACAGTTGTTGAGCACTTTGCATGTAAAGTAACAGGAAGTGATGTCAAAGGGAAATGTCTGAATGGGAAGGCTGGTTMCTAACAACGCAGATGGCAGAGAAGAATCTGATGCTTCTTCTTGTTTTGAGTCACTATCAGAGAGAGCTGATGAAGGGTCAGAGTTCAAATAATATTATTTCAATACACAAGGAACAGGGAGTTTTCTTTCTCAAAGAATTCCCCTTTGATGTCACTTCCTATTTTATTTTGGCTGAGCCAAGTGATAACAAAAATAGGTCAGTTAAGTGACAAAATCACCAGTTTTATACTAAGTTTCTTAAATATAAKTGTGTTTTCTTTGACTTTTTGTATATGAAGCATGTGCTTGTCACAGACACTTTATGCAGTAGTAGATGTAAACAAAATGTCATTCTTGATAACACAGAAGCGGTTCATTTTGTCACCTCGGGTGTCTCCAAACTTTTGCACACAGCTGTATAGGCCTAAACGAGAGCAGGTTGTTCACCTGGCCGTTGGCATGGTGTCGTTGGCCAGGTAGATGTACCAATAAACCAGGTTGAAGAGGGCAAAGGTCAGCGGAAAGAGGACGCGAGCGTAGACGTCGATCTGGCTCGTCCCGGCCAGCTGTGGGAACTGAGGAAAAGCTGAACCCTGCTGGAGGAAAATGGGTAAGTGAGGCTCGCTGTAGCTCACGGAGTGGTTTCTCCTCTTCAGGCCTCCCTGAGGGCTGCTGTCCGACTGGTGGAGGAGGAGGAGGAGGAGGAGGAGGGGGCAGCAGGGGTCACAAAGAGAAGAGATAAAAACATAAGTGACACGTTCTATACTTCTGCTCTGCTGATCATATTCACGCGTGGTAACATCCGTATTAAACACGACGAGCGCTTCTCTGGAAGCCTATAGGACGATTTGGAGGATTTACAGGAAGCAGTCAGAGTCCCTCTCTGTTCTCACACTGAAGCTATTTTTACAGCGTCTAACTGTGAACTTCACACGTGAGGCAGAGCCCAGGAGGACGTGTGTGGTGGCTTACTGAATTAACATAAAGCTCGTAGCTTGAGAGGAGAACATAAAGCAGCACATACTGAGTGATGTGGCCTTAATGTGAGGATTGAAGGAAGATGAGTCTTGTGGGTTATTTTACCTTCATTTGAGACTGTTGAGTCTAATAATCATTATTAAAGGGATCCACGATTAGTTGTAACATTAGATTTATTTGATAAACATTTATTTTAACTGTAAAATAAAGACTGTAAAAATGCTGTAGMCTGTTTAGTTTTTAGATTTTTTAAACTAAAAGTTTAAAAATATATTTTAACACGGACTGAGCCATTTTATTTACACACAAAGCATTCTGGGTAAATCATGACGTGGATAGGTCCTCGGTGCAAATGAGCTATATCCACCCTGAATGTTAATCTTGGACAATATCTGATGATCGGCTCTTTTAAATGAAACCAGAGAGCGTTGACAGAGAGGAGAAGGTAGAAATGACTCAGCCTGTAACTGAAAATATGGATGGAGGACCTCAGTTTAGCTTGTTAGTTTGTCTCAAGCYCCGAGCTAATACATACAGTATAAGGCAATATAGCGTCAGCGCTAGCGCAAAGGCTAACAYGCAGCTCTGTTGTCCTCCATCRATATTTTCAGTTKCAGGCTGAGTCATTTCTACCTTCTCCTCTCTGTCAACGCTCTCTGGTTTCATTTAAAAGAGTCGATCATCAGATATTGTCCAAGATTAACCTTCAGGGTGGATATAGCTCGCTAGCAGCCTCGCACCGATGACCTATCCACGTCATCATTTACCCAGAATGCTTTGTGTGTAAATAAAATGGCTACGTCCGTGTTAAAATATATTTTTGAACATTTACAAATAAACAGTCTACAGTATTTTTAGTCTTTATTTAACAGTTAAAATATATGTTTATCAAATAAAGTCTAATGTTACAACTAATCGTGGATCCCTTTAACACATAAGCATGGAGATACTGTGTGATCACTGAAAAGCTGAACTTGATGTTGAACAGCTAAAGACGTTGAGTTTACATCTTTATAGTAAATTTTAAAAATACTGTTTTCTGTCATTCATACACATTTAAATTCATATAAAATCATAGGCCTAGCTTTATCTATTGTTCTCTTGTCCAGTTTGCTGTTTATTATACTATTAGCTTATTTCTTTTACTTCATGTCGCAACCTCAAGTTATAGGAAGATGGATAAAGTTGTCATTATTAAAATAACTTTCCAAAACTTATTCTAATATATGTTAAACAGATCTTTTCGTTGGTTAAGCTCAATTAGTGGTGGCGGCCATCTTGATCAAGATTGGCTCCAAACGTTAATAAATTCTAGATGTACCAGACATGACCATCAATTAATATCTGCCTCAACAACTCTTGAGATATTTTGCTAACACGGCAGACAAATGAACAGACGCACGCAGGCAATGACATTATTGCCCAACTTTCACCTTTTTGTGGAAGAAGTTTATCAAAACTTTGACTAAAATCAGCAGATTTTAAGGAAAATTTGAAAGTTTTAATACATGTACTTGTTTATACAAGTTTGACTAATGGCAGTAACAACCCAGTAGCTTATCATACCTTAGCTTGCATAAACATGAGTCAAGATGAATTTACCTGCTAAGCCATTTCTTCCTGTCCTTAAGGTGAAAAAGTATCTGAAGACGTTTCTGCGTAAAAGGCAAAAAGCCTAATCTAAAGCCATAATATACAGTATATACTGTATATACTGTATATACTGTATATATAGTGATATACTTGTACATGTTCAAATTTACCCATAAAGTTTCTTTGTTTCTCATATCTATGCTAACCAAAAATGATGTTACAAAGGTGCTAACAAATGTTCAATTAAAGTGACTTTGACGTAATTTTTTTTGTAATAAATATGAACGCAATTTTGGAAAAACAACATTGATAACATATTGCAAAAATTATTTCATGCCGCTGAGATGAACATTTGTTGAGATATTTTCATGTGAAATAACAGGAAGTGATGTCAAAGGGGAATATCTGAATGTGAATAGAGCATTACAACACAGACTGTGGAAAGGAATCTGATGTTTCTAGATTATTTTGAGTCACTATCAGACAGAAATGAAGAAGAGTTGAGTTCAAATAATACTGTTTCAATAAACGAAGACCAGAGATTTCACTTTCTTAAAGAGTTCCCCTTTGATGTCACTTCCTGTTTCACTTTGGCTGAACCAAGTTTAAAAGAAAATATGCCAGTTATGTGACAAAATGTGTAAAATTATGTGTATTATGCCAAGTTTCTTAAATATAAAGATGTTTTCTTTGACAATTTATTTGAAGGATATGCACGTCACAGACACTTTATTCCCTCACTGGTAGAATATCTTCCCTCCATCAGTGTTGCCATAAATTCGTCTGCTCACCGAAATGGTGTCGTCGTCCTCGCTGCCAGCGGCCAGCACCTCCAGTTTGTCTTGTCTGGCTTTCTCCTTCTTCAGCCGGTTCGCCTGCAATGTGGCAAAGTAGTTCACTGCGGCGAATTCAACCAGCGCGGACGCCACAAAGGCAAAACACACGGCGATGAACCAATCCATGGCTGTYGCGTAGGAAACTTTGGGCAAAGACTGGCGGGCGCTGATGCTCAAGGTGGTCATGGTCAGCACTGTGGTGATGCCTGAAGAAGAAGCATGGAGGACAGTGAATAGCGCGCAACATTTGACTGACAGAGCCATGYGAAGAGGGGCGTACCGGCGACCGTGCGAGCAGGAACGGACTCCTTGTTGATCCAAAATGAGACTTGTGACAAGACCACGATCATTATAAGAGGGATATAAGTCTGGATGAGGTAGTAGCCAAGTTTCCTCTGCAGGTGGAAATGGACCACCTGCACAGAGTAGTGACCTGCAAGACAAACAGCAAGTGTGAAGAACACAACCCCAGGGGAAAGAGCAGAGCAACGCTCACTAGATGCTGTTCCTTTCCCTGACCTTGGAACAGAACAAGTGGTGACAGAAACATACAGATGTTAACCAGGGGTTTGGTAGGCTGCTAACTGTGAGTTAGGATGGAAGAATCAGAGGTGGAAGAAGGGAAGATAGTGTAGAAAAGGAAGACAAGTATTGTAGAAAATGCTGCATTGTGCACATTTAAAGGGGACATATGCAAAACCCAATTTTTTTAGCCCATAAATACATTTTGTTTTGTACTTGGAGTCTCTAGGAAAGCCACTTTTTTAATTTAGTCTCTCCAGGTGCTGTGTAAATATGTGTATATTCTGTTTGGGGCATATTTTTCAGTCCGTTCAATTTTCTCTATTCTCTATTATGTTTTCTGGACTATTATGTCACTGTATTTGCTGTGGAACTGACAAACAATGACTTCCAACTAACCAGTTTTGTGAATCCATGGTTTGTCTTCATTCTCCTCTGGCTCTGGGTCAGACTCTGGCTCCAGCAGGTAAGGATGGATGAACAAGTCTTCCCTTGTTGACATCTTTTATTTAATTTGTAAATAAAAAGTTTCGGAACCACTCAAATTACAAAAATGGCCAAACAGGGTGGAGTGGACAATGATCAGTGAGTGTGCGAACTGCAGGGGAGCGGGATGTGAAGCACCTCATTTGCATTTAAAGAGACAGCACCAAAGTGAGTTGAGACACACCTCAGAAAAGGTGTGAGAGATGGGCTTGTGGAGCTACAATAACTAAGAAATCAGACCAAACTATTGCAGTTCCTTTTAGAACCCAACTGAATGATTTAAACTTGAAAATAAAAACATTATGATATCTCTACTTTAAATCAGGAGGCTATTTTAATAGTTTCAAGTTGATTAGTTGTTACTGAATGTAGATTGTCAGGTGATGATTATTTTCATTGGATCATTAAATGTATATTTGGAGTCGATTCAAGATGGTTTCCACAGTAAATCAACCGTTGCGATCACTAAAAATACTCCCTCAGTTTTACAGGTATTGAGCTAAACTTTGAATGCTTCACATTGTGTGAGATGCTAGTTTAAAACTTTGTCATGAACTGGTTTGTTTGTTTGTTCGCAAAATATCTGGGTTCACAGTGTGGAGGTACTTGTTTCCTGTGGAGGTACCTGTCCTTGTTTCCACTGGGATTTAAACCCTGCAGATATTTCTAAAGGCACTTCCTGGTCCTCGAGGGCCATTATCCTGCATATTTTTGAGGTTTCTCTGCTCCAACGCACCTGATTTGAATGAATGGATGATTAACAGGCTTCTCCAGGACTGAAGAGCTAATTTAATCACTGGATCAGGTGTGCAGGAGCAGTGAAACAAGTAAAACACAAGGACCAGGATTGGGCACACCTGCTAGGCATTCCTTCTTCAGGCTTCTCTTATAGCTTGTTGTAGGAGGATCATGGACAAAAATATAGGACTAAAAGATATATTTTTGGCCCCTTACTTAAACATTAAGCAACTTCTAAGTATTTTGATTGAACCTTCAGAAGAAGAGTATTTTTGTTGCTGATAAGAAAACGTTACCCGTGTTGGACTTCACTGTCTCACTGGACAATGTCTGTCCCACAAGATCGTACTGAAGAAGACTTATTGACTCTTTGGGGCAATCAACAGACGATTTTAGCCCTTTTCTCCAGGTGAAACGAATTTCGCTGCTGGTGAATCCATCTAAAATCAAAAAGCATGCAGAAATGAGGAGAAAGATGAAAGTCTAATTACGGCAACCACAGGATATATGTTTTTGCTTTGGAGCAAATACACCACACTTACAGCTTCCAAACCTAAGAGGACAAGAGTGACCGTCCATGGGGAAGTCCATGAGATTCATTGGACACTCTGCATTGATTGTTAGTCTAAAAGAAAGAGAACACACCAGCTTCAGTGATGTTTTTAATTCAACGTGAATCTAAAAAGTTCAAATAACGCCTCGGATTACCTCATGGTGTAGAGGACAGTCCCGTTCTGCATGATGCGGAAGAGCTTGTTGGGTGTGGTCATGTTGTGGGAAATGGACTTCCTGGAATTCCTAAAGAAAGTGTCCGGTGTCCAAATCTTTTCCACCATTTTGTTGTTCAAACGCAAAATTTCAGTGGGACCATCAAATTTGAGCCTCTCGTCCACCCACATCTGACGGAAAAACATGTCCATGGTGTATTCCTGATGCAAGGATACAACAAATCAGCACATGCAAAACTGATTACCAACTCTACTTTAGGTTCTAGCTTTAGGTCTAAATGTGTGTGTGTGTGTGTGTAACACCAGGGAGACTTTTTCACATGTAGCCGAAGGTGAGAAGAGACAATAATGGATGTCACTCGTCCAGTGTGATCATGAATCAACCCACTGGTCCATCCTGGCTGTATGACATGCTGTCATATTGATTTAGAGGCCATCAATAACAGAGTTACGGGGGCCAGTCAGACAGATTAGAGCTCATTAGATGGTCTCGTGGCAGATCGCCCATAAGGCTGGTCACTAAAACAATGTCATTTCTCACAGTCAACACCAATGACACACAGGGGTTGGACAATGAAAGTGAAACACCTGGTTTTAGACCATAACATCCCTTTCAGACATCTTCCTCTTGTGTCCACAGTTAATCCTGTTGGATGTGGTTGGTCCTTCTTGGTGGTATGCTGACATTACTCTGGATACTGAGGCTCTTGATACGTCACAAAGACTTGCTGTTTTGGTCACAGATGCACCAGCAAGACATGCACCAACAATTTGTCCTCTTTTGAACACTGGTATGTCACCCATAATGTTGTGTGCATTGCAATATTTTGAGCCAAACTGTGCTCTTACCCTGCTAATTGACCCTTCACACTCTGCTCTTACTGGTACAATGTGCAATTAATGAAGAATGACCACCAGGCTGGCCCAATTTAGCCATGAAACCCCCCACACTAAAATGACAGGTGTTTCAGTATCATTGTCTAACCCCTGAATATTATGACTGGACCCTGACTGGAGCCTGGATATTGAAGCTGTAAAGGGAAACAGAGTCCCCATAGGCTGGTGCCAAATGTGCCCATGCTACATTAAAAAACATACTTTGACATATTTATGATATCAGGTCCTAGTTCACCAGCAACTTCCTCAAACTAAACAGTGATGAAAAAGAACTTCTCATGAATTCACCATTGCAAAAAAAAAAAAAAAAAAAAAAAACAGCAAATTTTCAACTCTCATCAGCAGCGCTTCAGTTATCCCCGCCCCCCGGGTTAGGAGTCTGGGCATCATCCTAGACAACACATTATTATTTAAATCACATATCCGTGACATCACTCGTTCAGCATACTTTCACCTCAGTACCATCCTTCGTCTTCGTCCATCCCTCTCACCCAAACAGTACTGTCATTCTGGTTCACCCTTTGGACACAGAACCCCTTCCACCAGTCATATGATACCTGTCCTAAAGCATATTCACAAATTTAGCATTTCCTATCAAATCCAGCTCCTTCCCATCAAAACCTGGACATTAAAATCTCTGCCACCCTCTCCATTTAGAAATCACAAATTAAAACTCTTCTTTTCAAACAGCAATATTCAGTTTAACCTCCTTCTCTCATACCTCTATTTAAGCTATGCAATGTTTGATGTTGTATTTGTTTTATTCTTTTGTCTTCTAATGCATTCTGTATTGTATTTTATTTGGACGGTGTCCTTGAGTGTCATGAAAGGCACCTTTAAATAAAATGTATTATTATTATTATTATTATTTAAACAAATACATCTCTATACATTTAGTTTAAAACAAATGTTATATAACACTGTAGTTGTGTAGGAGAGTAACCAGGGTTTAAAAGTTCCACATCCCTATAGTGAGCAGACTCTGGTTCCAAAAATAAGCCAAGCTGCTCAGATATACCAGATCCTGCTGGCTTCAGTTCCCAACAACAAGAAAAATCAAGGCGTTTTGGCCTAGTAATATCGTATCTGTCTAGGTTAACACGTTGATCTTATGAAATTTTTTGTGTCACTTCAGTAGAAAACGAAACCAAATATTAGTTTATTTATTTCTTCACCATAAGTGACTTTTTTTTWAAAGTTATGGAACATTTCTTACCATCTCAACATCTGAAACTGGCCCAAAGCTGGTGACAAAAATGTCCGTTTTCACTTCTGTAATTCCACCTGCAACCGATTATTTAAAAAAGCTTCTCAATTTTCACACAAATACAGTATATTACAGGGGAAATAGGTTATTCTAAATATACAGGTTATAGAACAAGTAGAACAAGAAGTTTTTAGGTTTCGAGTTACCTCCAGAACCAGGTCGCAGTCTGTTATCGTAACCATCCAAAAGTCTATCCAAAATGCGAGTGATGTTGTCTGAGTCTATTTTTTCACTTCCTTGTACATTAGCTACACTGCAAGAAAATAAATTAAATAATATAAACCCAATGGCTCTCGCTGTAAATTAGAATGTGTTTAAATTCAGAGAGAAAACTCACCTGATCCAGCAGAGAAAAGCAACCAAAGTTAACGAGGCAACGGCCATGTTTGGCAAATGATCAACTTTTCAGTAAAAATTTAAGTTATGTGAAATTTAGATATAAATAGAGCAAGTTTCCTTTTATGTGTCGTTACAGTGACTGTGTAATGAAACTGAAGTCACCCAGGCAAGAGCGGTAATCTAATTAACAGATTAGTGACTCCTCTCCATTTTTAGACAAACAGTGGATTTAATTTAACTTTGTTTTGGTCGTATTAAGTTATTTAAAGGAGTAAAACTTTGAAAAAAATAATATGCATTAAATGAAAAAAGAAGGATGCTGATCAATCAATGTGCCTCTAAAAACTGATAAAGCCATTTTGTAGTTCGCTTTATTGGACAGCAGGTGGCGCTGCAGTTATCATTACGTTCTTAACCGGAAATAAACAAAGAGGAAGACGTGAAGTTTGTTTTTCGGATGGAAAAGCTAGAGCAAGACTGTGGGGAGTTAAAATTATCATTGAAATAAGCATTTAACGGTGTGAGGCGGTGTGAAGCCGCAGCATGTCGGTACATTTTGAGGAGAGGAGCGGCGTGGTTCCGTGTAAGACCCCCTGGGGCTCCTGGTACCAGACCATGGAGGAGGTCTTCATCGAAGTCAACGTGCCTCACGGAACGTCTGCTAAAGAGGTTAAATGTCATTTAGGAACCAGAGACATCGACCTGAATGTCAAAGGAAAGGAAATATTTAAGGTAATCTGTGCTTCAGCTCGTTTGTATTGAATTAATAAGTAAAAGAGAAGGGAATGTGTGTTGGTCCTTGTTAATTTACGCGCATGCGCAGACAGAACGGGATGAGGTTCAGTTCTGACTTTTCAATAAGAAAACTGATCAGATTTAACGACTTATTTCTGAACAACAAACTTTCTGAATTAAAGTAAACACAGCTCATGCATTCTTTTATTTTATTCTTTCATTTCGAACCTCTCAGCCCTCTGCAATATTTTCACAAGTTTTAAATCATAGATTTAGTATATTTTGACTGTTATATGTTAACATAAATTGTTCTTGGCTCTTGCCAGGGAAAGCTATTTGACACAACCGTGTCTGATGAAGCTACATGGACACTTGGTGAGTTAAATATGACAAATGTGTTTTAATGTTTTAATACTATGCTATTGTAATAAATTATACTGTAGTAATAAATGTTTGAGTGAACCCATTCGCCTGGATGAGAAGCAGCCCCACACATGAATMGTTCACTGTGGGCATGACACAGGACTCATGGTATAATTCACCTTTTCTTCTCTGGACAATCATTTTTCCAGCTGTCCCAAACATTCTGAAGGGGGCTTCATCAAAGAAAAGAAAAGAACTTCACCCCACTTCTTTACAGTCCATTCCCTATATGTCCTGCAGAACGTCAGTCTGTCCTTCAAGTTTTTATTGAAAAGAAGTGGCTTTTTTGCTGCCCTTCTTGACATCAAGCCATCGTCCAGAATCTCTTCGTCTCACTGCGTTCAGATCCACTCACTCTGCCCTCTGTTGTTCCTGAGCAAGCACTGCTCTGAATGGTGACCCGATCTCATAGCTTCATCGTCTTTAGGAGATGGTCCTGAAGCTTGCTTGACTTTCATSGGCACCTTGAAGCCTTCTTCACTGCTTTTGAAACCAGTGCAGTAGTTTCTGTGATAAGGTTATTTTCATACGATTCATCTCATCACTCTTCACAATCTAGAGTTAATACAGATTGTCACCATAAAACTGAGGCAGCTTTCTCCTTTTTGCCTGCTGATGTTACAGTTTGTTTACTTAAGTCTTATTTGTGATGTACAAAAACTAGAAATCAATAGATTATAAACGAGGCAGCAAACTTTGTGCCACTCTCATACCTTTTGGCCACGACTGTACAACGTACCCAAGCCTCGTGTTCATCCTGTACTCTTCCTTATATTTGTTTTTTCTTCTCACCAGAGGATAAATGTCTGATTCGCATCGTTCTAATGAAGACCAACAGAGAAGCAGGAAACTGCTGGTCCTCCCTGCTGGAGGGGGAATACTGCGCCAACGCCTGGGTCCAGGACCAGATGCAGAGAAAACTCACTCTGGAGAGATTCCAACGAGAGGTTTGTTCAGTTCTGTTCCACAAGAGACAAATACTTGTTGTCAGGATAGTTTTAGAGACGAAAAGGTAAACTTTGGCGCTACACAAGCATGCACACTGGATCTGCAGGTGGTTCCTGCTCCTTCCTGTCTGTTGACCAATAGGAGAGGAGCTGATCCGAGAAGGACCACCCAACTTATTTGCATAATGAGACAGAAATGCATAAGGAAATGTAAATACAGGAGACAGAGTAAAAGCAACACATAGAAATAAAAAGAC